GCGGCGGTGTTTTCAAAACGTCGCCCGCACTTATAAGCTGCCCCAAATGGACCCTTAACATCTCAAAGCTTACACTGTGTTCGGAGTGATCCACTAATCATAAAAATTAATGAATAAGAAAAAGAGCATGTCATATTAAAATATAAAAATATAAAAAGAATAATATAATAATAGAAAAGCATAAAAAATATTTCTAGTACTCATAATAGACATAGAATGAGAAAAAATTTTTTTTTTGAACATTTTTAAAATTCAATAAGTATTTTGGGGTTTAGTGAATAAATGGGTGAAATTGCCATGAAAAATGGTTAGGCAAAGAGGGATTGGGATCTAAAACTTGAATGTTCATATTGTCATGCATACCATTAAAATCTTTAACATCACATAAAAATACAACAACTACTTTTTTAAAATGAAATATTCCACAACTTTATGACACCAGCGTCATAAACATAGTGTTCAATATGTAAATGCATAAAGATTTTTGAGTTAGGTGTGCACATCTCCAATCAAAATAACTGCTCCATGGGAATTCCTTGGCTAATTTGGCTAGATAAATATTAAAATGCATCCCTTTCTTTCTCATACAGCAACTCATTTGTACTTCATAATTTTAAAAATTAAACTGCAAATACAATCTAAACCCATTTTCTTTCATAAAACAACTTAACATTAGAAAACCTCTTAAAAATAAAGTAAAAAATTACCCATCATGGAATCGGATATATAACAACTTTGCCTGTAGCCCTCCCAGTTTCAAGATATGAAAATGCATCAATAACCTTTGAGAACGGGAACGGACCTTTTGGATCATTAACTGGCTTAACCTTCCCACTCTCCAAAACCGGATTTAGCTTCGCTAATGCAGCTCCATTGGAAGTGACCACAAATCTGAAACCTGGAGGTAAAACAGGCCCAGTGAGCACCACCACAATTCCGCCTTCTTTCACTGCTTTGGCTGCCTTCTCGCCTTGCCCTGCATACAAATTTCTATCAAATGATTAAAACAAAAATATGAAAATTATTAATCAAAATGTTTTTATTTATATGTGAAGGATATTATACAAAGGATCTCACCAACAGAATCATATACCACATCAAATTTTTCTGGCAGTTCTTCAAAGTTTTCCTTGGTGTAGTCAATCGCTAAATCAGCCCCCAAACTCTTCAGTAGTTCTAACTTACCCGTACTAGAAGTGGCAGCAACTCTTGCTGCACCATAAACATGTTTTGCCAACTACAGAAAAAAATAGATTTCAAAATAGCACCTTTCACAAACCTATTACTATATAAAGCCATGAAAGAACTATGAAAAGAGATTGAGATGATAAATGTTTATATTTCAATTTCAGCATAAAGTTTTATAGAAAATTACCTGAATCACCAAGGACCCAACCCCACCTGCACCACCCAACACAAGAATGGATTTACCAGCAGAGAATCCAGCTTTCTCCAATCCTTCATTTGCTGTCTCAATTGCTAGAGGTAGCCCTCCTGCCGAAGCGAAGTTCAGATTATTTGGTTTTATGGCCAGCAATTTCTCTTCAACGGCAGTGTACTCAGCAAGTGATCCAAACTGCTTCGGATTATCTAAAGCTTTCTCATTGATATCCCCATATACTTCGTCTCCTTCCTTAAGGTTCTTCACTTGGCTCCCCACCTTGATGACTACACCGGCTACATCATAACCTGGAACAGTCTATAATAACAAAAGGAAAAAGAAAGTATATTAGTTCCATGGGAGAGATTTTTTTTGGATTCTAGGATACAATATTAATGCTACTATCAGATTTTGAAGAAAGATTCTCTTGCAATGATTAATTGTACTTTTCATTAATTTAAAAATCAGATTGTACTGGCTGGTTCGACCGTTCCAATCGTGAACCGGTCATTTGACCGGTTTGGTCGACATAGAAACGGCAAATTGTTCCAATTTTTAATGAATTGGTCAGTTCAAATATTATCCAATTTAGAACCGTGAACTTCTCTATCTCGAGGTTCGATGTCCGGCCTGATTTTCACAACTTAGGAACTTCTTTTGCTAACGGTGCTAAATATACAAACTTGTATCATCTTTTTATAAGAATGGAATGAAAAAAGGTTCTATTCACATTAAATTACAGAAATCAGTCCAGAAGACAGTTAATGCTGAAGAGATTTCAAATTTCAAAATAACATTTTACAGTTTTGGGCAATTTCAGATCTTCAAATCTCATTTTATAGCTCCAGGGGATGAAAATTCTATAAAAAAGAATACAGTGCTGATAGATGTTGATGCACAAATTTAAATTATAATAAAGTCGCATCTACTTACAGTACTTAAAAAAAAACTAATAAGTATAGAAGATTTAAATAATAACTGAAATAAAAGTAAAATTTTATCAAATTAAAATTAAATAGTCTAATTTTAAAGTAAAAGATGGTTAAGCTCGCAGTACTAGCCATTAAATAACTTAATATGTGATTAAAAATTATGAGGGTAAGTTGAATCTAAACAAAAAATAAGAAAAAAAAGGCATAACAAAATTTTATTCAAAAATATTTTCAAAATATTAAGACGAGAGATAAAGTTTATCAGTTTAAATATGAGAGTAAATACCAAAAAAACATTTAATGTAGTTTTGGGGATTCAAAATACATGTATTTTCCATATTTTTTCATAAAGAATGAAGCACATATTCTTTTTAATACATGTATTTTCCATATTTTTTCATAAAGAATGCACATATTCTTTTGCTTTTGCAAGATCATATATGCATATTGATGCCCGACTGTGATAGATTTCTAATGTCGCTCATCTTCTATGACGAGTGAGGGCTTTCCATTAGGTGTACGATTACCGAGTCCTATTTGATATAACTTATGCTTTTTATTTTTTTAAAGATATGTTTATTTAGTATATTTTCTTTTTTTAAATCCAAAAAAATAATCAAATTATTTTTAAAATACTTAAAACTTTAATATTTCAAATATGTTTAAAGACAACTAACACTAATTGTCATCGCTATCATATGGGCCGCCACCATCTCTGCCGGTCACAGTCAGTCACCTTCTCTACTAGGAAAAATTATCGCTGACCAATGCATCATCTGAGCTGCCACCATCTCTCTCAGCCACTATCAATCACCTTCCACCACCATCTCTACCAGCAACAACCATCGTCGACTGCTGACACTACACAACTAGCAATCATCACCATTGTTGCCCCACTAGTGACCAACACCACTATAAAAAAATATACAAAAATAAGATGTTTTAAAATGCTAAATATGCTATCATGTCAAAACATTAGAAAAAACAAAAAAATCATCCCAAATAATCTCTCAACTCTTGATTGCCAATAGGGAATTTTATGGATGGTTTCTCGAACTTAGATTGAGTTGGAATTCATTTATTATATTTGAATTGAACTGAATTTATGAGAAATATGATGTCTATAAATAGGGAATTTGGGACATCTTATTTAACAACATTGATTGAAAAAAATTTATCTATCCAGTTTTCAAACTTGTATGTGCAAATTGAATGTTTGATTTATCAAATGTGGTGAAAATGTGGCAAAGTAGATAGCAAGTAATTTTCTTGTACTGTGTGAGGCATGATTTATTTTATTTTGATATTTTCATTCCTTTTCTTAATAATGTACACAACTTAATATTGGCTTGTCAGTGTTTTTGATTTTTTAAAATGTGGTACAACTAAATTTCCATATGTGTGAATAAGCTAATATTTAGTTTTTAATTCTTTCTGATTGCTTCGGGTTATAATGATAAATTCATAATCATTTGAGTTTATATTTACATAAATCACATTGTTGACTTAATTGGTGGCTTGTAATATGTGAATCCTCAAATTGCATTGCATTAATTTATATTATACATCGCATAGTTGATTTAGAAAATCTCAACCTTGATTCATCCAACATCAAATTGCTATTAGAGCTAGGTTGCAAACAAATAAAGCTAAGTCGAGCAAGGTGTTGTTCGAGCTTGTGCTAGTTTAGCTCAGCTTGAGATAAAAAATATCTTTTGTGGCAGCGTCCAAGCTTGGTTCATTTGATTGTTTGAGCTCGATACATATTATGATCCAACTCATTTAAATACATAAACAAGCATCTTACCGGCACTTGATGGAGTTGAGCTTTAATCCGAGTTAAGGCAAAAAACTAGCGTCATTCAATTCAAATCTACCCTATAACTAGGCCCCAAGTTAATATTTTTTTCACTCTACAAGAAGGTTTAAATAAATCCCACTTATTTGAAATGTCCCCAGTCACTTCACAATTTTCAAGTAACTTGCCTCTTTCTTTCCATTTAAACATTACTAACTCTAGCAGCTTTCTTTCCAATTAAACATCACTACCCTAGCCTCTATTATAATGTTGGATAAAATACTTGATGGTATGACCACAACTTTGGATGTTAAGGTTCAAATCATTTTATTTAAAAATTCTAGAAGCATCTTCAGGTAGAATTTCTCTGGCAGAAATTTTAGCATGCTTTATATATATTAATACTATGTAATGATCAAATTAATTACCATAAAACTATCATGCAATTTTACATATATGTACTGTATATTTGACTATATAGTCAATAAAATTTAATCAATTTATAATTTTTTTGATAAAATATGTAGTTTGATTTTAAATTAGGTTTTAATTATATTTTTATAAAAAATAAGTTTTATTTTTAGTTATACTCTTACATCTCTTTTAACTCCATCACACATAAGTTAATTAATCAAGTGTTAAATGTGTGAAGTAATATACAGAGTCTTAATCAAGCTTCTTATTGAGCTCAAGCAACAAACTGTTCAAACTTATAGTTCTTAAGCTTATTAGATTCATTAATCAAACTATCATAAATGATCTCTTATCCAATTAGAACATGAGTAGCTTGTTGAACGATTGATTCATTTGAATTCCTAATTCAAGCTTATAGTAGCACCATCAAACTAAATATAAGCATTAAATGGTTAAAAAAAGATTTAATTAAAGATGAAATTTAAATGAAATCAAGTTGGCTATTGTTCTAAATAGCTATAACATGACTATCATGACGTTCAAAACTATATTCGAATAGTAGATGAAAAATTTGGTCATATAATTCAATTTGGTTGAATAGTTCAAAAAATTTCATTGAGAAATATAAGTTGTCCACACCTAAATAATTGAATGTGTCAAATTAAAACCAGTGAAAACTACTCAATCGTTTCAACAAATTATTGCTACTAAATCATCAAAGATTGATATGAAACATAAATTTAAAGAGCAATAGTCGTAATGTAACGGCTATAGTGATCAATTTAATGCTTATGAATTGGCTAAATAAGGTATGTTTGATTAATGGGCCGCGTAGCTAAATATTATTTGCCTTTGAATTATTTTATTATATGTAAAGCAAAACTTATAATTATCATGTTTGAGTAACGGGCCGCGTAGCTAAAATAAAATTATCATTTTCATCAGTCAATTAAATTTTCCTTCATTGCATTTCTTTCCTGTAAATAGAGAGGTTTTTTCATGTAACAGGACTTTTGCCTCTTCCAACTCCCCATGTACCAAAAATATTTGACTATATAAAAAGGGTCACAAGCATTTTGCTCGAAGGGGCAAATCGTTGTGCACTCCTCTCCCTCTCCCTTTTCTCTTGATTCAAACAAGGGGCAAATCGTTGTGCACTCCTCTCCCTCTCCCTCTCCCTCTCCCTTTTCTCTTGATTCAAACATTCTAATCGCTTGGGTGTGCCTCTCAGACAAATTTGAATTCATTAGAGACCGTAGGGGATTTTGTTCTTCTATTGAGGTGAATGGAGTTATAAATATCACATCAGTTTTAATGTTTTAAATTGCGCATAAATCATGCGTCTCTCATCATTACCCTCCAAATTTCTTAAAAATCATCCCAAAACCATTATCCCCACCAATCATCGATTGAATCAAGATTCAAAAGGGGAAATAAATGGGTCCAGTCAAGCCTATTAGCTAAAAATAAATTTAGAGGAAAAATAAGGATCACATGACGCACTCAAGTCTCAGATAGTGTTTAAACCTTATTTTTTATGAAGTTAAAACGGCAAACCCTCTGAAGAAATAAAAAACAAAAAGGTTTGTTTAATCTGTTTATCCTCAGACCAAAATCCTGTATCAAGTTCTGAAAACATGAACTAAATTTGAACCAAAAAATAAATGAATGGAAAATACAGAAGAGCAGAAAAATCATGAACTCACAGGTAATGGAGAATCAGTGGCCTTAAACTTCCCTTGCCTCCTCTTAAAATCCACAGGGTTGATTCCCGCAGCCAGAACCTTCACAAGCACTTGGTCCTCTTTGATCTCCGGCACGGAAAGCCCTTCATCTAGCCTCAGGACATTGACATCCCCGTACTCTTCATAGACCCATGCCTTCATCTTCAAAGGGATGTCTGAGGCCGAAGTAATGGTTTGTGTCGTAGATGGCGCAGATTCCGAGGACGAAAATATCCTTAAAGAAGAAATCCGACGACGAATTCGATTCTTGCACAAGGCTGCAGAGCTCACTGAAGATAAGAGACTAAGAGCTGGTTTTGGATTGAAGGAAGAGGAGGAAGGAGACAAGATTTTAAGAGGAGTGGTGGATAAAAGAGCGTCCATCTTCCAATGGCTTCCACCCGCCTTCAACACGGAGCTGTAACTTTGAATGTGAATGTAGATGGAGTAGATTTCCACGGCTTCGTCACCGGCCTGTAGGCTTGAATGTAAATGTAAGTAGTTTTTTTTGTAGTTGTGATATGGTCACCACCGGTAAATCTAGGAGATTAGTATTCATTTTATTTCAGTTTTTTTTTCTCATGGGCTTTCTTTTAAGGTTATTTTGATTTACATAAAATATGTTTAGGAAATCAATCTTTTTACTGGTTTGTATGTTCATGGTTTTAATTGACTCATGAAAATGATAATTTTATTTTTTTTTATAATAAATCACAATTATATTCTAAATATAAATGTACTAACAGAATTATTTTAAATTTAAAATATTCTATTATTTTAAATAAGTGAGATTGGATCCCATATTAAAACTTGACTTCTCGGAGTTGAAGTTACTTGAGTTCTTAAATATGAAGTTACTCGTGGAGCAACATCAACATCATACAACATATTAGAATTGAGCATAATTGAAAAAAAAGAGTGATGGGATTCTAAATCTTATTTGAGCATTTTGAGAGCAAGAAATACTACAAGAGAAAAAAAAACTTGAGTTTATTTCATATTATTTCATCCTCCATGAGGGCAAGTGCTTTTAGAATACAAAATTAATGCAATTACTAGCTAATCAATCTTTTAGCTAACAATTTACAAGCTTATGTTAAGGGTTCATAAAATTATTGCACTTTTCATATCAATTTTATTCTCAAGGTCGAACTGCATAAGTCGATCCGATAAAACATGCCCACTCACATGCTGCAATCTTTTGATTGGATCCTAGTTGTGAACTAGACAAAATACTAAATGCCCGAAGAAGATAAATGTTGAGCAATATGCACTTGACAAAAGCCTTGACTTTATCCAATGGTTATGCACTTGACAATGGCCTCGAACAAATGTAGGATTGATGTTTGTTGGTTTGTATCGAACTGATGTTTATGTTAGTGTGTTTATGTTAAGTTTGTGAGTTAGATATATGATGTTAGTGTGCTTGAATTGTTGGATTGATTCGTATTCAAGAATCAGGTACTTGTACAAATGAAAGTTGGAAGAAGTTCAAAAGATAATAAACTAATCAAAATGTTTTTGAATTAAAAAAATTAGGTTCCAGAAACCTTTGGTGTGAGGTGCTCAAATATAAAAAGTTAAAAAAAATCAAAAATCAAAAACAACAAGCACTGGCGCCTAGGCGCCAAAACTAGGTGCCTAAGCACCAGTTACTTGAGATCAAGGCGCTTAAGCGCCAAATCTGGCTCCTAGGCGCCAAACAAGCTGAACCATTGATTTAGCTTATTAAATCGCGAATTGAACCGGTTCAACACCATTTTGCCTTTAAACCCCTTCTTTTTCCTTTGAACGCACACCAGCACTTCCCTAGGGCTTCTCCTAACTTGCGATTATTATCGATTAAAAGCCTAAAAACTTCAGATTTCTTCTTCTCCGGATAAGTTTTATACTTTCACCATGTGATTTTCATCTTTAGCCATGGATTTCATGTACATCTGGAAATTTTGAAATTTTTGGAAAACCTTGGAATGAAGAGAAGGAAATCAATGGAAAATATTTATTTTGCAATATATTTGCTTGTAGGAGTCTTTAGAACTTACATTTGGAAATTATATGGATTCTTATTAGATTTGATATGGCTCATAAGACTGAGAGAGGAAAGGGGAAGAAGGTATTTGATCACAAGCGATTTGTCAGTCTTAAAGCCCAGGATCAATACAACAATCTGCATGTGTCGAAAAAAATGATCACAGAAAGATGCTTCTCTAGGCTTGAGGTTTTGTGGAGAATTTGATTGTAGCATGGAACTGGGAGAGCTTCTGCTAATTTACCGTCTAGCAGTCAGAATTCTATGCAAATCTCCTAGAGTAATAAGACGATTTTTTATTCGTTAGGGAGAGAAGAGTAGACTTCAATCATGTTCGGATCAATGCTTTTATACTAGTTGCCTTTAAGTGCTTGATTGTTAGTACTCGTCCTTTGAGCCTACCGAGGAGCAGCTGGAAGAGATTATTGCATTTCTGACTGATGAGCGTGGAGCTTGGAAACTAAAGAACGACCACAAGGTAAAATTTTTCTTCTTCCGGTAAATTTTTCTTCTTCCATGCTTAATGCCCCATCTAAGGCCTGACACTATTTCATTTTTGCTCAACTTCTTCCTATAAACCATTTGAGTGAAGTAACCAGGGAGGGAGCCACTTTAAACTTTTGCATTCAAAAGATGAAACCTGTAGATATTGGCTCTCTCATGTACAAGAATATTATCAGTTCTTCTACGGGAGGTTCTACCACAGGTTTGAGTCACCCTTCTCTCATATTTACTATATGTAAACAATCTGGAGTTAGTTTTGAACCTTGGGAGGAGATATTACAACCATTGAAGCTTATCAGTAAGGCTAATGTGGATTTATGTGGAAAGCATGCTACACTTGGTTCTAGAGGTTGATCTTCAGATATTCCTTCTACCTCTACTTGTACACCTTCTAACCCTACTTCTAGACCTTCTACCTCTAGTGTTATTGTTTCACCTCCTGCTATTTGGGAAGAACTTCGTGATCACTATCAGGAGCATCAGGATGATATTTATTTTGTGCGAAGTCAACTATGAGAGAATGAAGATCAATGGGAACATTTGGAACAATATTTGAAAAAGGAAAAGTGATTATGAGGCTAGTTCCAATACTTCCCTGGTGAGCTTTTTGAGAGGAGATCAGAGTGTGGAGTTTTCTTTTTATCCTTATTCTACTATGTTCGAACACCGAAAGGCTGTGGATGAAGAATATGATGAGGATGATGATGATGAGGAGGAGTTATTATGAGTCTAGATTTGTTTATTTTCTCTAGTTGTTGTTGACTTTTAGTTGTTTTATTGTGTTGGACATTGTGATATTTATGTTTACTACTGATGTGGATTCTGGCTTTTTAGTTGTTACTGCATTGTTGTTTACTTTTTGCTCCATATCATGTATAGTATTGCATGCTTCTTAGAGTGGTTCTTTTATTTTGAAATTTTCATTCTATACATGTTGATTTGAGATTTACTACTGCTAATGACCTGCTTTTACTTCTTGCACCTGTACGATTTTTATGCTTAGAACCCTGTGATAGATAATAATTCTATAAAAAAAAATTTTTCTTCATATTTGTTTTGTACTAAAATGTTTAAAACTGTTTAAAAACTTAAGTTTGGGGGAGGGAGAAAAACTTTTAAAAACTAAGCTTTATTTGTCCTCAATAGGCTATATTTAAAAATTATTTTAAAATAAACTAAGGCATGTGGTGTTATCTTCAAAGAACTATATTTTTTAGAGAACTATATTATTGATTCTATGAATGTTATAGTAAACTTAAATGAATTTTTTTTTGTGATAAGGGATGGTTCTAGAGTTAAGATATTTAGTACAAGAGAATAGACATATGTTTTTTACTATTTATAGTAGGAAAAAATTATATTTTTGAAATACTAGGAATCTTAAATTTGCACTTCAAAATGATTTGAGACATTATGAAAAATCATATTTATATTAATACACATTATCACGTAAGGAAATGTGATTTTTTTTTAAATTTAGGAGGAGGATAATGAAGTTCAAAATCATTAAAGACTTTTTTACTATTTATAGTAGGAAAAAATTATATTTTTGAAATACTAGGAATCTTAAATTTGCACTTCAAAATGATTTGAGACATTATGAAAAATCATATTTATACTAATACACATTATCACGTAAGGAAATGTGATTTTTTTTTAAATTTAGGAGGAGGATAGTGAAGTTCAAAATCATTAAAGGCTATCAAGATATAATAATCCTCACATAAAAAAAGAGTAAGGATTAAAAAGATCTTGAAAGAAAAGAAAAAGTAAAAAATATGGGGAAGAAGCTTGAGGGGATGCCTAATTAAAAATTGTCTTCACTTGATTCATCTTAAGGGAAGAAACTTAATTACAATTTTGAGATTATTATCAATTCTAAAGGTGTTACTCAAATTTTTACTAATGGAGTTCTCATATAATTTTGTCTTTAACTTTCCTTGGATTCCTAAGTGTGACAAATTATAATTTTTTTTTGAAATATATAAAAAATCAGAATTCCTAACTTGATTACTAGATAATCTTATACCATAGTTCTAACTAGGGCTGTCAATTTGGCTCGTTGTTTGCGAACAGCTCGTGTTCGGCTCGTTAAGCAGCTTGTGTTTGGCTCGTTCGTTAAGCCTAACGAGCCGAACACTAACAAATTTTTAAGCTCGAAATGTAAACGAGCCGAACACGAACAAAAGTTTGTTCGCTCGTGTTCGGCTCGAAT